TATATATATATATATATAATTTGAGATCCATAGAAAGCAATGCCAAAACAGATAAGGCTGTAAAAGGCTTCGTAGAAAGATGTGAAAAAGCACTTCGTCAGCGTACTGGAACCAGAAACCAGCGTGACGATCACGCTATATGTCCTTATTCGAGTCAAAGTTCAGCAGAACAGTTGGCAAAGCGAAGTGGTGAAAGCGATTCTTGACCGTTTCGGAAAGATGCTGAGATCCTTCTCAAAATGGCTCTTCTGTCATTCTCTATACTGCTAGCAGTTTGTGTGTGCAATTACAAACCAAGAACTGAAGTGCTCACAGAAACAGTTGGAGAAGCGTGTCAAGACATACGTTACGTATTTCGAGCGAAATAAGCTACACGAGTCTAAGGCTTATCTAGATGTGAAGCAGTAAAACCTAGTGCTGATGTAAGAAGTTCCGGAACGTAAGATAAACTGCAGAGAATGGATGCAGAAAGTAATTTCGGGAACCCGCTCATACTTTGATCAGCGAACCAAGCTTCAGGTAAATATGCCACATAGAATACCCCCAAGTTAGTGACTGATCTTGCAAAGCAGCTCCAGGTGGCACGACAATGCTATGAAGACACGACAAGGCAGAAAGAGAAGCCATCGGAAAGGAAGGTAAGCGTAGAAAATAAGCTTTACATAACTCCCGTAGAACTGAGTAAGGCCACGGAAAAAGTTCGCAAGTAAAGACCTAAAAAGGGGCTAAGAAGTGTGAGAGGGGCATGAATCTGATACTTGTTCTTGAACGTGGCTGTGATGAGGTTCTAAGCATTTAAGTTTATTAAAAACTAAAAGATGTGGTTCTCATCCCAAATCCAAAACGCCAGATTTGGGCTATTCACAAGGCGATTTTATAGAAAATTAGTGGAGGAACAATCTGTTAGCCACAATATAGGGATAGATGAAATCAGAGAGTTCTGGGCCACGATGTGGAATTCGAAAAACGAGATGATGGCAGTCGGCATAATGAATATCTGGAATAATTTGTTCCAGACTATAAAGCTCATGATACTTTCTCAACTGATGCCGAATTTGGGAGGATAGTTTCCTATTTGTCCTGGAAGGCAGCAGGGTCTGATGGAGTCCATTTATTAGGAAGTGCACCTTCTTGCATCAGACTTGCTTCTGCAGCTTCATAATGTATTTGTAGAAACCGCTCCCCACATTTACTAGTAGGTCGGCGATTTTAAAGCAGAAGAACTTACACCATGTACTTGAAAGTTACTACACTCCATCTTCAGACTAAATACAACGTCATAGACAATCCAACCTCGGAAAACCTAACTGCGGCCCAGAAAGCGTTCCTTTATAGCCAAATAGAATGGAAAACTCGTCTTGCAGTAATATAAGATGCGGAGTAACTGGTCTCAATAGCCGAATCATCAATGCAGTTGCATATAGCAATATTACCCAACAAGATGAAGCGCGATACTGTCATCTCCAAGATAATGTTTGGGATTGAGGGAAGTATGTGCCAACATTGTAGGGAACATGTGAAGACGGTAGATCATCTGGTAACGCAATTCGAAAAATGATAAAATAAAAGACAATGTGGTGCTGTGGTGTCTGCAAGAAGTATGGTCTGGAAGTATTATCATGCATGTGAAACCATTCTGTTTATGAGGTCATCGCAAGTGAAAACGTGGGAATCCACAGTCGATACGTGCGCTAGAACAGCTTAAAAGTTAAGTGCGAATTGACTGGATATCGTGATCCACGATAAGAGGCAAATTAAATTTTGATAGAGATTGGCATTACTAGTCAGGATAGGCCGACAGCGGTCGAGACCGAGAATAGGTGAAAGTATGATATACTGACTAATAAATTCAGTCGGAGACAAAATGTAGAGCGAAAATAATTTTGTATGTGATGACTTGGGATGGGATTGTAAGGAATTTCTATAAACGTTCTGCAAGGATTACTATATCTGATTGTGTTGAGGCAAATATCCAAACAATAGTGCCCAAGAAAATGCTTGAAAGCATCTCATTCGATCACTGCCATGGATTTGACGCGGATGAAACAACAGAGATGAACACAACATATCTGAGCGAGAGATAGGTACAGACTAGGTGCAGGAATATAATACAATAATAATGTAGAAAAGAAAATCTTCCTAATGCCTCCCTAGAGCAACACAACGTACTCCTGGCAGTAATATATGTGTAAGATCTCAATAATTTATTTTTTGAAAATCCAGTGACAATTTTTTTCCACCTTTATATGTAGTCTCTCAAAGAAATAATTGTTTAGAAAACTTACAAAAACATTCTATTGTTATTCATGTATACATTCTGCGATCAAATCAGTGATGGTAAAGGCCCTACATTCATACATACAATAGTGTTATTGTGGAGTGTAGCTCAACGATAATACTCCTAGATTTCCTGATATTAGACGAGTAGTGTCGAAAAAAGCGATATAGCTTCATCGTTGTTAACTAGTTATGCGATGAGAATGACTAGTACCACTATACGACAAAGGTGATATAAGGATTAGAAGGCTTTAGGAACTTACAGTATAAAGTAGCCACGAGAAATTGTAGTGATGAAGTAACGATAACAGAGAGATACAAGATGAAGTGTAAGTGATTTTTCTCTCCAATGCAGTTTACGATCCAAGGACAGTGGTGATCGAACCTGCAAACATGAATTGAACTTCGGATTAATAGTAAGATTAACCAAACTAAATTTACGTAATGCAGCAAGTGAGTGTGTTTTACTAGTTTGTGTTGTAAAATCAAAGCCTTGCATGAAGTATAGACTTTCAACATAAGATTACCTTCGGATACAACGATCGCACACTGAACAATGCTTGGATCTTGCTGGTCTTATTAACAAACACGTGCTACAAAATGGAATTTCGGGTTTGTCTTCTTTTTCCCATATTTCACGTATCATTTTGCATCGTTCCTAAGAGTACAACTAAATACCTTTAAGAACAGGAGAAAAAAAACAGGTTTTTTGCAAATATTTTCTCAAATGTCCATCCGTATTTACAAATTGTGTGGATTCCTGCTGATTTGTAACAACCTAAAACATTTTGAAATTTATATATAGAAAGTTTAGTCTCGAAACGGATTTAGAAACAAAGCTCTTTAAAACTTGAAGAAGTGACAAAGTGACAAAACATAAGACTTACAGAAATTATTATAAGCAGTGTACACTGTTTCGTTTTCCAAATACTATTTCAGAACTAACTTTTAGGTTTTACTAGTTTCAAAATATTTTAGGTTGTTAGAGGTGCAGAAATTTAGTACAAAGTTTTTGTTATCTATTCATGATGGAGACTAGTGGTGCAAAGTTCGAGAAAACATATAAGCAGTTGTTACTTCGTGAGACGCAGTAACAACACCAGGATCAGAAAATACAATCCGTAAGAATAACGCTGGTGCAAGTGTTATTAGAAGGAGAAAACTAATTTGCCAGTACCATCCTGCGAAAGCATGCAAATACAATAACCAAGTCACACCCAAAATAATTTTGGAAGCCACAGCTGCACCTAAGGGTATGATATGGAAGTTGCGATTTGTTAGTAGGGACCTGAAATCATTTTTTTTTAATCTTAAAACTTTGTTTCCAGAATTTACATAGAAAGCAATACAAGTAAAATACCTGTAAATGTTTCGTCCAAGACAACCGACTAAAAAAAGCAGTAATGCTTTGACTGTATACGACAAATAGACACTTAAGGTCATACCAACTGCTGTCATAGCAAGTATCGGCAAGAAAAATACAACACGTGATATTAATACCTGTAAGATGAATAAACTAGAGTACGCTGAAGCTGCGGCAAAAGCAAACGCAATTGTAATGACGTAAACTTGACATCATAGTAAAGAATGAACTCACATCATTTTCCTTAAAATACTGGATAAATGTAGAAGAGATTAATCCTTCTCTACGTTCAGCTCTCTCGAGAATTCGTGCACTAATAACATCTCCTCGTCTCCTTGCTATATCGCGGGGAGTTTCATTATCACGATTAAGATTCACTAATCCTGCGTTATATTTGACTAAAATACTGACTGCAGAATGATTGCCTTGTATTACTGCCCAATGTAATGCTGTATTCTCATAAGTCGTATCAACGCATGATAAGTCTGCACCCATCGTTATTAACATTCGTAGAGGATCATGACTGTAAATCTGAAAATGAATTGACTGAATTTATATACAAGAAAAAAATATGGCTGAAACCCAAGATGTAGATCAAGTAATAAGTAATCATAGAGTCTATCGTCCCAAACCTTGTATGCTGCCCACATTGCTGGCGTCATCATTGTTTCATCTCTTTCATCAACAGACTGTCCTGCAGCAATTAAGTATGCAGCTGTTGGAGTTTTCCCAAACTGAATAGCAACATGGAGAGGAGTAAAACCTGCAGTGTCATGTATCATAGATAACTACTTACAAAAGAAGCAATGAAGAGAACAAAGTTCAATATATTTTAAGCTTAAGTTACCTATCTATACATTATTAAGTTTCTTTAATATGTAAAGCAAAATAATAGTTCAGACCTTAAATCGTTTAAAATAAAAATAAAGGATAATCATAGAAAATCGAAAAAACTTATCTAACAATGTAATCATTTTAATGTGTTCTCATGAAGTACAATAATTACAAAGACACCTTCAACATCTCGAATATGCAGATTTGCACCATGAGAAACAAGAAGTGCTACCATGCGAGTATGACCATGTCGAGCTGCCCAGTGAAGTGGTGTTGAAGCAAGGACTCCACCGATAGCATTCACATTACAACCTCGGTCAATTAGAATCCTTGCTACAAGTAAGCTGAAAACTTGCTCATTCAAATACCTATTCTAGTGTTTTATTCAAAAACCATAACGAACGTCAAAAAACTTCTACCGATTGTTAATTGCTGCCCAGTGTAGTAAAGAGCAATCATCAGTATCTAATGTATCTGGCGCACATTCTCCAGAATCTAGTAGTTCCTGTAATCTTGTTATGTTACCAAACTGTGCCGCCTGCCGAGCATCCATCAGAACGGCCATATTTGCATCCAATGAGAGTATTAACGATCTGATAGAAGCAAATTTTTCTATGTGCAAAATCACATATCTTGATAGTTAAAAAAATAGTAGACAGTGAAGACTGAGTGAGGAAAATTATGCATCCACACACTGAAATTACTAATGAAAAGTTTCTCTTCAAGTTACTTTTAACACTGAATTATTCCTGAAACAATAAGCTAGAATAAACTCTATCGTTAACATAAATAATCGTAACGACGTTACGATTACGATTATTATGTTATCGTAACGACGTTACGATTATTTATGTTAACGACAGAGTTGCACCCGTCATTATCTATCACTACTACTTTTATCATCAGTATTATTATTCAATATTAATATTGCACAGGTCCGCTCATTCAATTATGCATTGGAAAACTTTCTTGTTTATATTTTTGCATATTATTAGTCCCTACTGAAAAAAATTAATAACGTTAATATAGTCATAATTGTAACAGCTCACGTAATTGTTACTGTAATTGGAACAAAAGCACTAATTTTTTGCAACCCTTCATGCACATAGCTCCCATCTATAATAAATCACGATTCTGTGCAAAGTTTATCAGTCACTTATATCAAAAATGTTTTTTATTACAATCAATCTTTACTGTAACAGAAATCATTCCTGATGTGATTGATAAAATGCACAGAATTTGGCAATCCTCTTATCATTTATATCATTACTATACTGCCATCGTTATTACTAATGTTAATAATTACATCAGGACCTTCTCGTTCAAGATATGATAGTAGTCAAAGTTGATAACATTTAGATTCACTATAAACAAGAAATTCATGACACTGGTAGTTACGGTGGCAGTAACAATAATAACAATAATAATAATAATAATAAGGATGATAACAAGTGAAGACAATGACGATAACGAAATAAAGGAAAATTAGATGAAAAAAATAACGAGTTGAGGTATTATATTTTCCCCCCTCTTCCTCCTCCATCCATGCAACGAAGGGATTGGTCACTCAAAGCAACTAAAAAAGAGCACTCATTAATAAATGATGAATTTGTGATTTGTGTGTCTATGCTGGTATACATGTAAATACAGATGCCTATTTATGCTTCTGTGGAATATTACATCAATAAGTATTACAGCGTTTGTTCATTAACGGCGTTATTAAATGTGTCAAATGCATAAATCTGTTCCACATTGTCAGAATACGTAGTTGACAAAAAACTGAACGATTCTAATGAAGCATTATTTCGGTCCAAAACTTCCAAGATAAAAAAAAGTACCGGCCTGGATTTCGAAATGCCTGTTTAAGCTTAATATCCTCGATTACTTGCTTATCACCTCTTACTACGGTAAATGTGTGGAACTAATGAAACTGCGAAAAAATTAATGGAGAATGACTTGAAATATTACAATTTCTATTGCAAATTCTCTAGCAAACAAGCTACTACAATGGGTAACACCTACAATGACCAGGATTTCACCCTAAATTTTATCCAAAGTACTCAGAAATGCGATATGCTATATCATTACAATTTTGACTGTCTCCAGCTAAAAAAACCAACTAACTCTAAATCACTACAAAACATATTAAAACATTTCATATGCGAATAAAAAATTCACAACCAAGCGGTTGTGTGTTGCTCTACATTTTACGAATATACACACACACGAATCCGTACGCTCCCCACAGGTAATACAAACCAATGACAAGTAAACGCAAGTCAACAGTTTATGAGACAGCTGTTTTCCTTATGGTACTGTCATAGTGTCAAACCAGTCTCATAACCTGCACTTCGCTCCAATGAACTGCTAGTGCTTTTACGATTCTGTCCATTTCTGTATTTCTATTGTGGTCAAGGGGTAGGGCGGATTGGGAGGCATGGTGTAGTGCATTGGATTATGACCTTGTGTTAGGGTTTTGATTGTTGATATGGATCTTATTGTCAAGTCAAGCAGTTTTTAAACCGCAGTTGAGGAAGGTATTAATTTCACTTCACTCTGATTAATAACAAATCAAGCTGTTGATTAAGTTAAGAGCACATCTAGTTTCATTTTCATGAACTAATAAATTGAGAAACTCTCATTTACTGTGGAGTTTAATATTTAGTGTTTGGTCGTGTGAATCACCGTTTTATTTCAACTATTGTCCTTTATATGAATTTGTGAAGATTGCTTTTCATTTGTTCTTTCATTATTATTTTTTCTTTCTTGCACTTGCAGTCTTACCTCATATTACAACAGTAAGGTACAGATATTTTAGAAAATTGAGACATACCTTCAGTATGACTATGTATAGAAACTTTTGTGTGTAGGAACTGTTAATTTTAAGCCTGTAAGAATAAAATTCTAATACTTCCAATGACTCTTATGAATTTTAAATATTCTCTGGTGCAGTTCTCCGAAGCACGGAGATTACGAATCATTCATGTCGGTGGTATCAGATAGCTCGGGACGACGAGCCTCATCTCACCGTAATTTCCGAATAGCCCGAACGCTATCACGTGGATGTACAGTCTCAACTGATGTTGCTACCTCGTTTATTCCTCATTTTTCGGCAGCTGCAAGTGAGGTATTACTACATTGCTTACAGTTTTTCACTTAAGGCACTCTTTTTGATTTGCAGCAATTTTATAGCTAAGAATATTCACTTTTACGTGGTTTCATCAGAATTTGTGCAGGGTGTAAAACTAACTGCTGACGATGACAACTGGGCAGAAAATACTACAGTTATGACAGGTAATACAAGTGAACATTCATATAGCGGTCTCACTGAAAAAGCGCTTATGGCCCCAGTTGAACGTATTGTTGCTAGAAGATGTTCTCGTATATTTTGGCTCCTTAGTGCCTCTCTAATTTCATTTGTGGCTATTATATCATCACCTTTAATGGTTGTTTCACCGGTAATCCTTCATTGCCTTGGATTTGATTGGCCTGAGGTTGCTTTTCTCTCATATATATCGAACTTTTTTTAATTAAAATTCATTTAATAAATTACAAAATTTGACATTGAATCGTTTTGAAACGATAAATGGTTTGCTCCCATATGTTTTTGTCTCATGATATAGTTTGAATATCTTTATGTTAATCAAAAGTTTGCAGGTAGTATGTGGTGCTGACTGCCAGGGGCTAATGTTAAATATGGTGACCAAAACGTTGCTGCTGATAGGTGCACTTTGGGCGATGTATTTTCGACATGCTTCAGCGGATATGCCGCGTTTATTTTTCCTTCGTTCTGCATTAGCATGCTTGGCATTATTTATCCTCTTTGCATTCTGGTTGTTTTATTCTGTTCGTATATTATTCGAAAAGGAAAAAAGCTATAATGTGACTGTTAACTTTGCGCTTTCACTGCTGGATGCTATGCTTTATTTACATTACATTACTGTCATCGTTTTGGAACTGCGAGCTCTGAGGCCAGAATTCATTGTTAGCGTTGTAAGAGATCCAGATGGAGAAAGTCGAACATTCAGTCTTGGTTTAATGAGCATTCAGGAAGCTGCGGTTCATGTTCTCAGAACGTACTATGCAACCTTCCCATCTTACAATCCCTATATGGAGAAAGCATTAGCGGGAGGTTCACTGCATTTTCGATCTGGCGAGTTACTCTTAAGCAGTGCCTGAATAATAATTTTATAATTAGAATACTTGCCTTTGGTTACTCTTATCTTTATGAATGGAAGATGACGTCAGTTATTTTGGGATAAAATTTTATTGTTTCTATGTGTTATTAAGAATTCCTTAGATGTCAAATCTCTCCCATCTGACAAGCTTCTTGTTACGCAACATTTTAATAAATAGGGTATACAATTCACAGTTTATTGATGGTTTTTACTGCGTTTAGTGCTTTACCAAAGATTTACAAATTGTTATCGCTGAAAATATTTTTGAAAAAATTGAATATCTTGGTCGGGAATATCATTACTCACTGAAAACTTTTGCTTTTTGTAATTATAGTATCCTTGATCTGAAATTACTTACTAATGTGATTATTCGAGTATATTTAAAATTCGTTTGGTAGCTGCATTTTATTTTCATGTAGGAAGTTTAGGTTCATCACAATCGACGGGAGGTTTTAAAATGTATGATATCGAAGGCTTGGGTAGTGAATGCACGGTAACAGAAGCTAGTGCTCGTGCAATCATGGAAGCTGCTGCAAAGAGACGAATTGGTGGTCATAACGAGCGCTATCATGAAATGATAGATTGGGAACGCCGAGTTCAAAAACGGAAATATCGTTTGATCAGCACTACAGAAGAGGCGTTTTCAAGTGTTCAGAGCGTTACTGCTAGCAATCAAAATAAAGTAAACACTCTGTAATAGACTTAATATATTTTATAGGTAGTTTCTAGTGGCTTACTGTAAACAGTAGTGTTTTAAAAGTTTTTTACATAATTCTTTATAGGTCTTGGGAGAGCCAATGGAAGCACTCGGGGCAGCACAGGCAGTGTTTTCTGCTATTGCGCGACCTTTGAATAAATATTTGAAACTTACTCGCCAACAACCCCGTCATACGGCAGATCAAGTTGTTGCTCATCTTGCTCGTTGTCTTTCTCTTCGTTTTACAGCTGCAACATTCTTACAACGATTCTTCTCTCAAAAATTTCCTTTCCCGGTTAGTTTACACATTTTATGTATTTTTATCTTACTGCGATTCACCCATTTTTTCAGGTATTCTTTCGCTTCATTCCTACTTAAATTGAGTCGCATTATTAATAAATCTTTTTATTAACTTTATTCATAGATCGACAAAATCATCAGTTGTAATTTGGTCTGTTTCTAGGATCGTGTAAGAGAGGCTAAGTGGTCTATTGTATGCAACGTTCAAGCATCAGCCGGTATCAAGCATGGCACTGTGTTTGTCTTACGCTGTCATGAACGTGATGATGACGCTGGAGTGCAATTGTTATGTTCATTTCATACTTTTCCTTTCTTCAATCTCACTGAACAGCAATCATTAACATCGAAGTTTGCTTTAAAAATTACTCCAGAATCAAATGTTTGATTTTGTTTGTAAGTTTATTATGGATACCTATGTTATTTGCATATCAGTTCACTGGAAAGGCAATTAGCACTGATATTTACGTAGCAATTAATTGTATTTGAATAGTCGGTCGCATAGACATATGATAAACATGCCATTTTGTAGAAAAAAATATAAAAGTCTTGATGTCTAGAGCAAGATTCTTCATGTTCGGATATCCGTTTACTAATTGAATCAAAGTAATTCTAAATATATTCTTTAGTTCGAGAAGTTTTTATGAAAATCTTTGAACTCAAGTAGAAATGTAAGAAACTCATGTTTCAAAACTGATTACCTATCCGATCTCAGCACTATGCATATCACATTTAAACCTCATAATTGATTTTCGTATTTATTATATCTTTTATTTGGTTCAATGTACAATTAATATTTGATCTGTTAATTTATTTATCTCAAGTAGGCATAATTTTGAACATTTTTTGTTTTTCACTATTGATATTAAATTGTAGTTGATCACATTGTTATACTGCTCTAGAAACAGTATTATTATAATTATTTCAAAAGCATTTATTTTTGTATTTTTTCAGTTATTAACAAGATGCTCGAATTTACTATAGTGCTTCTTGATAACCTTATTTAAAGATCTTCGTTAAAGCTTGTTCTGTACTCTTGTGAACATACGCCCTCTGCATAAATTTCATTCTCATGAGGAGCCTAGTAGTACTTACCTTCACAGTACGGCAATCGTTTTATATTGTGTATTCTGTCTAAACTGCCACTGTTATTGTATTAATTTTGCTTAGTTTTGTGCTTTATTCCTATAATTATTATCATTTGCTGCATCTTTTAGATTTCAAATCGCACGGATTATGATGTTTAAGGTTTACGATTTCCGCAGACTCCAAGCAGGAATAAAAAGTGTGATAATATAGTTTAATGTATTTTTTTCGGGATCTACTTTCCTGCTTATTTCACTCATAATCGGTATTATTTATGTGGTCGGCCTGCGCTAATGAATTTCGCAAAAAGTATAGATGATTTGAGTGATATTTCTTTCTCAATTAGAAAAGAAACTGGACTGGTTTTTTTCTTAAAACGTCTATGGAGAAGGATTTTTGTATCAATCGTGGGAAACTGAGTAACGCTGACAGGCGGAGGGAATGCTGTTGTAAACATTGAACCTGTAGATTGTACGAATGAAGATCATGAACTATGCGAAGTGTATAGCGTCAGGAGACTAGAAAAGAATTGCTTCATGGGGTTGGGGGTTATCTAAATTCGTCTGGGGGTAATTGAGACCTAAAACAGTTTCGACAGTGAGTCGTTGGCCTCATGTTTTGTTGTTTCTTGGTCGACCGCAGGGTGTTTTTAGTTATCTTGTTTCTGGATCTGAGCTAATTTGGAGAAAGTATTTTACGTGAAGAGGTGTGACTATCAATTCTTCATTAGGCTTGGGTTATCGACTAGTGTGGCAGTAGTTCTTCGAGTAATAAGGTGACATGAATTCTGCATTCTCTATTCGTCTGCTTTGGGTATGAGTCCTGATTCTGTCTATGTTATTGTGTGGTGAAATGGTCTTGAAGCGAACACTAGCAATACGGTACTGTTTGTTATATCAATGCAGCTGAATGAGATGTGGGTTATCTCTGTCTATTATTACTGTAGTTGGAACGATGAGGGTGGGTGTAGGTTTCTAGAAATTCGTTCTTTACTATGTTTGGTTCCAAAAGGTGTGAGTTTGGTTTTCGCATTTTTTTAAGAAGGGAAAAAGAGAAGTGTGGTGATTTTTGGTTCTCTGTTTTTCATGACTATACTATTGATGAATCTTTGGTGGTTGGAGGCCGACAATGTCTTGTTTCATTTCCTACTCGGTGTGCGCATTGTTTAGAAACCTCACTTTCTTCGTGCAACAGCATCCCTTTAATATCTAGGCAGTGTTTTAAACATTTCCAACAAATATTTAAATTCGTTTAATGTTGTTGGTTTAGTTGCTGGTAGTTACTAGTTTATTCTGTCAATGTAAACAAAATTTATTTTCTTCTTCAGTTTTAGATGACTAAAGATCTTGGGATTGGTGAACGAGGACGGGAAATGAAGAATAGTGATACCGATGAGGATGTTGATAACGGTCTTCCTTTTTCAGAAGAAGTGAGTTTTGTTATTATTGTAAAACTTTTGTTCTGAAGAATTTTTCTTTAAATCTCCATCTGCAAATAGTTAGGTAACGAAATGCAGGATTTTCTGTTATTTACAGAAATACCCCACTTGCTAATGGTGAATTGTGTTTTCATCGGTTGTCATGTTCATTTTTGTAGATTGAAAATAAAGAAAATACTCGTGGCAGAGTAGCTTTTCACAAACCAATTGCTCAACGTACCAATCAGGAAGATGCAATGGATACAACGGATGGTAGCGAAGGTGAGTGTCTGCTATCCATGCTAGGTGACGAAATTAATTTTTTTGGATTTCTTGTTAGCGTAGCTGTAGAGAGATCCTTGAAATTTTTTATCGTGATCTTTTTTTTATTGCAAAAAAACAGCAATCAATATGTGCGTGCTATTGTTGAAGTAAAATTGTCACAGTTAGAGAGTTTGAATTGTCACAGCCGAGCGTGATATTTTTCCTGAAAGTGTTTTAGTATTTACTGTTAACCTTAATAAAAGATAGTTATAACTATTCACCGCATGATCAAAATCACAACACTATTGTATCAAGGGAGTATTTCTTCAAAAGATGTTATAATTGTTCGTTTCAAAAAAAACGTTGCTTTCTGTTAGTGAAGCGAAAATTGAAAAAGAAATTTGAAACTATGTTTTGTATTTTCTTAATTCACTTGTGTATGCCATATTTATCCGTTGTATTCATTCCTTCTTATTTTTTTTAATTCACTGAAGTGTACCTGCCGCATGTATATTTCACTATGGAAGTCGCATAATGTTTTGTTTGAACCTCTTCTATGTGGGTAATTATGAAATTATTCATTGAATATTGTGGTCATTAGAATATGTTTAGATTGTTTTTAAGCATATGTGCTCTTCTTGCGTCTCTTGATTTTATTGTTATTTGCAGATCCATATAAACCAGAAGGTGTTCTGCACATGGATATTGATCACTTTAGTGACTTTGCCCGTGGTTCATCTGAAACACACCAAAAATTAAGCGATCCAATATTCGTAAGGGGCCTTCCTTGGAGGATTTTAGCAATGCCACGAGAGCAGACCAGAGTTCGGTTTTCCACATTTGAATTTTTTGATTCTGAATAAGTTGCTGTCCTATGTTTTTCTTGTTTATCATCACGTGTTTTATTTACCTTTTTTTCCCGTTGTTTTCCCAGTATGCCTGAGACACAGTTTGTAATTGCAGTTTCAAAGTGAGCGCCGATCACTTGGTCGTGCTTTCGGTTTTTTTCTTCAATGCAATGGGGAAGCCGAAGCTATTTCTTGGTCTTGCACAGCAAGTGCTATTCTTACGGTTCTTTCACAAAAACCAGGGATCGAAAACCATGTGCGGAGAATTAATCATACTTTTTATCAAAAAGAAAATGATTGGGGCTATTCACAATTTCTTCCTTGTGAAGTACGTTACTCCATTAACAATTTTTTATTTCTTTTTAGTAGTTGCGTATTTTAGTTGTTTTCAGTCTGATTGCTTCATCGATAATCAAACTAAAATTTTTCTGTAGTCAGATTAAACTCGATTTTTTTCTACAAAAAAATAATTTTTTGCAGACACTTCTTAATCCTGAAAATGGTTATATCAAAGACGATGTTATTAAACTTGAAGTAATGGTTATGGCGGATGCCCCCCATGGCGTGCAGTTTGTTTTTCATGAGAGATGTTTTTATTTTGGATGATTTTGTTTTAAAGGGGGAAAAAATTTGATCTTTTCATTTTTGCAAAATGTTGATGTTCATCTTAATTATTTTGAAATTTTAAGAAATTAGCTATTCAGATGGGATAGCAAGAAACATGCTGGCTTCATCGGTCTCAAAAATCAAGGTGCAACATGTTATATGAATTCAATACTGCAGACATTTTTCTTCACTAATCGACTGAGGAAGGTTGGTGACGATTTTTGTGGCTTACTCTTTTCTTCTGTTTCTTCATTTAAGTCTTTTCAGGCTGTTTATCAGATGCCTACTGAAAACGATGATCCTGAGACTTCAGTGGCTCTAGCTATGCAGCGTGTTTTCTACGAATTACAAAATTCGGATAAACCTGTTGGTACTAAAAAATTGACGAAATCTTTTGGTTGGGATAGTGTGGAGTCATTTCATCAACATGATGTGCAAGAGCTGTGTCGTGTACTACTTGACAATTTGGAAAATAAAATGTCTGGAACGAAGGTTTCTCTATTTTTTTTTTTGTAAAGAAATGGATTCTTGAGTGATACATAAAAATTTACCTGTTTCTGGAGACATATGATTGTGATACTATTGATGCAAAACTCCTGTAATAGCAATATTTAAGGTACTACACTTTTTGTTGATCGGTAGTTTCAGAAATTTAGTTTTAGGTGAAAAATACAATTCCCTCATTGTTCGAAGGGAAGATGAAGTCGTATGTACGCTGTAAAAATGTATGCTTTGAATCTAATCGGGTTGAATCATTTTATGATCTGCAGCTAAATATTAAAGGGAAAGCAAATGGTATGTTCTTTGCATTACATTTATCTAAAAAGTGGCGTTTTGACCTGATTGTAGTCCTAATTTATATAAATATGAATTGTCAAGATTCTCGTGATCAAAAACTAATTTCATTTCAGTTTTGGAATCTTTTTCTGACTATACAGCCGCAGAAATACTAGATGGTGACAATAAATACGATGCTGGAGAATTCGGTTTACAGCCAGCTGTTAAAGGCGTCAAATTCATTTCGTTTCCTCCCATTCTGCATTTACAATTGATGCGTTTTCAATATGATGCATTACAAGATGCCAATGTTAAAGTCAATGATAGGTCACTTTATTTCTATTTTTGATTGAAGAAATTATAATTATAAATATTCTTTTTTATGCTTGCAGATTTGAGTTTCCTGCAGTTCTAAATTTGAATGCATTCATAGAAGATGGAGATAAGAAAGAACCTCAGGATTTTGTTCTTCATGCTGTATTAGTTCATTCGGGTGATTTCCATGGGGGTCATTACGTAGTTTTCATTAATACAAACCTCGGTGGGCCGCCTAAGGTAATTTTTTATTCGCTGGGAAATTTCGTCTGATTTCGTGGTGAGTTGTATTCTGTAACTTCATTTCTAGAATTTTAACTAAGCAAACTTATGATTCCAGTGGTGCAAATTTGATGATGATGTTGTTTCTCGTGCGTCTGTTCGTGATGCCATAGAGGCGAATTACGGTGGTGATGATCCCGATCTTCCGGGGAAATCTTTTACGAATGCCTACATGCTTGTTTATATTAAAAAGAGTTCTATAAGTGAGTTAAGCTGAGGTCCAGTTTTTTCCAGGTTCGGCCAACTTCTTATAAGCATTATCTGGGTCAGGTTTCCTATTCTGATTGTAAAATGCATGCAATTGTAGATGATGTTCTTTGCCCTGTGACAGAAGAGGATATTCCGCGACATCTGCGACTGCGATTTGAAGAGGAGAAATCTGCTGACGCAAAAAAAAAGAAGGAAAAACTTGAAGCTCACCTTTTCACAGAGCTTATTGTAAGTCTAACGTGTTCACCATTGTCGTTGATTACTTGTTCGTTATAGCTGTAACATTAATAATTATTTAGGTCGTATTAGAAGAGCATATGTACAGTTACTCGGGTTTTGATTTATTTGATCCGAGAATGCTGGACGAATCTCGTCGTTTGAAGGTTGAAAAGAAAATGACTCTCGATCAGCTTTATTCATTGTTTGCAGAAGAGTTTGTAAGTTTTAATAGAGGCCTATTTGATTGCTTATTTTGCTCTAATATCTAACTTTGCTTTTAGCATCTTCATGAAAACAACTTTCGTTTATGGCAAGTGCATGAGAACACTGTCAGAGATGAAAGAAGTAATGCACTTTCTCTCAATCGTCTTCGACCATCAACTTTATTAAAGCGTTCAAGTGATCGTCCGCATGCTAATCGTGTAGATATGGTACTTGAAGGCGATCGTAACATAGTTTTTTTAGAGACACCACAAGATTCAGGCACTTCTGTGAATGGATTGCCACCGTATGATGAAGCAAGTCAGTAGTGTTTTTGCATATCTTCGTTATCATAGCGCCTAGAATTAGGTGATGTCTTTTTATCTATAAATAAACAAGAGCAATCATTTTGCAGATGATATGATGTTTTTTTTGAAATATTATGATGCCGATGAGAAGATGACATTCTTTTGTGGACACATAATGATCAATTATAAATCAATGATTCGGAATTATCTGCCACAAATTTTGCAGAAAGCACGTCTACCTGCAGGAACTGAGCTAAAGTTCTACGAGGCAAGCAATTAGTTTTCAGTGTTATTCGAGTCATCTATATTTTTGGTTAGTTTTGAGAATGGAATAAAAATTAAAAGGAGCTTGAAAGAGTGTTGTATATAAATGTTTTTGTGCTTCAATTAAGTTGTGTTTTGAAATAGTATAATGATTTTGTATTCTTTGGGGTTGATTTTTCAGAAGCGTATGTTTTTTAGTACGAATTGTGTTATACATGATTAAGAAGCTTTTGTGCATGTATTTAGTCTTAAAAAATTTTGATTTAATTCTAGGAAATTGCTCCGGAACGTATGCGTCCCTTATGTATCGATGATATGATATCACAAGATCATGCATTAGTAGACTTAGTTGATGGCGCATTACTAGTATTTGAAAGGATTGATAAATCGACAACTGAAAATAACGCTCATGTGTATTATACAACAAAATATAATTCAATGCTAGTTGAGGCTCTTCAAAATCCAGAAGGCTTTGGAACACCTCTCAGTGAACAATTCGATCCCATTCTGGGAGAGATCAGCCAAGTTGTTCACTCATATATCGCCTACTTTGAAAATATTGTGTTCGAGGATGTTTTAGTTTAATATATTTTATTTTTTTCAATCTTTTTCAGACTTGGACCATGGGGCAGTTAATGCAATGGATCGCTGATGGTATTGGATGCGCTGCAGATCACATTCTTCTGTGGAAGGTTATTTTAAAAAAAAAAGCTAGAAAAAGTGTATAAAAATGTTTGTGCTTCAATTAAGTTGTGTTTTGAAACGGCATAATGATTCTGTATTCTTTGCGGTCGATTTTTTAGAAGTTTATGTTTTTTAGTACGAATTGTGTTATACTTAACCATTTCAAAACAAACCGTTTTAAGGTTCACTTGAATGAATGAAGTTGTTTAAGTTCCATTGGAATAGATAGAATTGTTCGACTTATTTAAAATAATTGCATTAAGAAATTTATGAGCACTTCTCTTTTATCTAAGTTTCTCTGTCCACTGAAACCAACTTTCATCAAATATGTTATGATCTGGAATCAAATGTAAACAGTTTTCAGGAAGCTCTGATTAGAACCTGTGCTTGTTCCCCATTTCAAAGAATTAGCTTTCTAATATATATTTCATGTTTGTACGGAAAACTATAATAGATGTTGCGGTTTTTACAAATTAGTTGTAGGTGAGCCAATACAACGAGAAGCCAACTAACAATCATTTAACTGAACATGAGTTGCGAGTTTTTTCGGTTAAAGATCTTCTTGGTCTATCAGGTCCTCATAGACATGATCCACGACGACAAAAACGATATCGCGTTTATTATACAAAGATGCCTATTTCTGTAAGCGATCTTGAGAGACGTTACAAAATGAGGGTTCAAATGATGGACGAAAGGATGCAAATTATGGTAAAGTCATTTTGGAAATGTATCATTCATTGACAAGTAGACAATAGTAATATCAGTTTGAAAGAAACATTGATGCACTTTCAGGAAACCACTGTTTTTCCTGAAAAAACGGGAACAGTTCAATCAATTTTAAATGAAGCACAAAGAGAATTTCACTTTTCCATGAACGGAACGAAATTGCTCAGGTTATTTTTTAATTTTCGCTTCTTTAGTAAATAATTTATTGTCTACTTATCTGAGGTGTTCCCAGTTTATGTTACTTTCAGGCTTGTTTATGTAGGTCAGGCTTCTCACTGTTTACGGGCCTATCACGTTTTTACAAATGATACACTTGCTAGTGAAATTTATACAAAAATTGGTAACTCATCTTACGCCGTCAGTTTGCCATCTCATTCGGTATATCTTTGCAGTTACTTGACTTTTGTGGTTCTCGTTTTGCATAATTGTAGTATTGATTAGTGTTCTTAAGCTCAGGTACTCAAGAGTTTGGGCTTTGTTTTTTTGTTTCTTTATCATAAAAATTTATTTCAGTACACTGTTGGTGAAAGTATAATTATAATCAAGCATTATTATCTTTGTCATAATTTGCGATTAATTGATTCGGAAAATCATTGCCTTTTCTGAAGCACTTTCAGTCGATAAAAGTCATTGGAGATGTCAAATGAATACTTCATAAATATGAAAAACGTATTTTTCAGGTGCGGGTTGAAGAAATACCAGAAGATGAATTGATAATTAGGAATGGTGAACATCTTTTACCTGTTGGTCATTTTGATAAAGTAAGAATATTTTTATGATAAACATCAAACACTATTGCATGATACGTATTTTTACTATCAAACCTTTCATGTTACGGGCATAATTTTAAGGATCCCACACGCATGTTTGGTATCCCTTTTTTCATCAAAGTTACAAATGGTGAGACGCTAGAAAGTGTTAGTGAACGTATAAGAAAAAAACTTGATGTTTCTGTCAAGGAATTTGAAAAGGTTTGGGTTATTACTTGATTTTGAAAATCGAATCCTGTGAAATTGTTTTGTGTCCATATTAGTATTTTGAAGTTAAATTTGTCATTTTTCAGTATAAATTCGCAATAATTGTCAATAATCGAGTGAGTAAGTACTTGGACAAAGACAATGTTGTTAATCTTAATGAGCTTTCTCATACACATATTACAGGTTAGCTTATTTATTAACGCTCACATTTTTATATGACTCGACTGCTTAATTCATTTAATGTTTGCTTAATTAAATTCGAATAAGAGGAGCATTAAAGCTTGTGGAATCAGATTAGTCATTAGTTATGGATCACATGAAAAAAAGTCGTGGCACGCGAGGATCGCTTACAACTGAAAAAGCAATCGTTATCTGTCATTTTTCAGGATATGCCTCCGCACCCTGGCTTGGTTTGGATCACATGAATAAAAGTCGTGGCACACGAGGATCGCATACAACTGAAAAAGCAATCGTTATTCATAATTGAGTACACTGCTGAACTTTATTATTTATATTTTGTTAATTTTATGTAGAAAATAGTGTTTTCGAAAAATTTGTAGTTTGTCTTGTTTTATAATTTTGCGTAAATCAATTGTTAGCAGTGTATTTAAATCTGATCTTTATTATTTTTTATATGAGTTGACATATTTGCAGCTTCCTCTACAAAAAAATTGTCTTCGTATTTTGCAGCTGTCGCTTTTTTTGTCTTGCCTATAAATGTTTCTGCCATCCATACTCTTTAAATATTCTTGCATTATTTAATAGCAGCTTTTTACTTAGCTCTATTTTTTCACATATTTTTAGTGCTGGAGTTGAAATACATAAGCTTTATTTAGGATGGCGCCAGTGGACTCTGGGTTTTCATTTTAAACGATGTTTATTATGTAACTTTATTTTAGCTGCAAGATCAAATGGTCCTCCACTTATTTGCAGTTTTCTTCCATCCTAATTGTCAACTTTGCGCAGTTTCATTCAAATTTGCAATTTGTCAATTTTTCCAATTTTTAATTACATCCATTTTCACTCATGTTATCCATACAGTTGACATTTTAACTAAGCCATTATTAGATTTAATCTATGTTAAGTGTTTACTTTCTGTGTATGATTTACATCCATGTCCGCTCGAAAGAATTTCAGTCTGGTCTTTCTGTATTTTTCTGCAGACGCAGCTAATTTTAGTTGGTTCTCTATAAATCACCAAGTAGTGTTATCAGTTGAAAATAAGTGATACTTTGTTGCAGTTTCGGTTTTGATTCGTATATTTAAGTCGTAATTTAAAACATCTAGGCTTAAATATTTTGCAGTGCATTTTTAAACACTGCGCGAAATTCGAGGGTATAACTAGCTTGTCATTTCATTAAATTTATTTTGTTTTGATCATTTTATTTTTCCTACATTTCTCTCTTATCCTGTTTTGTCTTGTCAGTCATTAGACTTGGAGCAAGCATCATAATTATGGAGTGAACATTGTCGGCAAAGCCGAAGATTATTTGTTTCCAACCTAAGTTGTTTTATTATTGCGGGAGTTCATTGAGTATAGGGTTGGTTTGTTAAGTCTCTAAATTCTGTTTATTGTAAAGTATTCAGGTGCTTTTTATAATTATGATCTTTACGTATCTCTTGATGTAAGCGGCATCTGTTTTGTGTCTTAGGGTTTAGTAGAACTTTATGACTTCTACTTTGTGGATGGTAGACATACTGATTAGGAAGAAAAATGATTTGATATATTATGTTGAGGACCATTCTGAGAAGATAGGAATTGTTTAAGAGACATACCAACTATTTAAGCTATGGGCTCCAACTTTGGGGTCAGTGTGGATGAAATTTCAATAATAAGTTTATTTTGGATTAAACTGATTTCGATCAGTTCTGGGTTTGAGTAGTGACTGTATTGTTCCGCTGTCAATTGTATTAACTAATATTAATGAATAAATTTATCATAATATGTAGTTGTTTTCACAGTGGTAAGAAAGCACATTTTTGCGACTATGAAAAAGTCCATTCGTTTCTTGCGGGGCATAAAGTATTCTTAAGGGTTTATAGCGCTGTGGTTGCTGTTAGTTTGTAAGGGTTTCTATGTTTGGTAAATATAGGTGCATGAGGTAACGTGAGAAGATAGTGTTGTTCTCAGTTTAGAACGTGGTAAAAGTGGATGTCTTGAAAAGGTTATGAGACATGACAAGCAATTATGATTCGTGTGGGACTCATTTTTTTTCGTTTAGTTTGATAACTAACCATATTAAACCAACGTAAGGTATTGGAATTGAGTCAGCACTGGAAGTGTGTGTACATAATATTAGATTCATTCATAGTTGAAACTATAATGCTGAAGTGGTGATAGAGTGTACCATAGAATATTTTGCGATTTGGGTCATCTCTCGTTCTTTCATGAGCGCAATGTGTCAGTAATGGTTACATTTATTCTCTTTTGTAGATAATCTTTTCTATTCGCCCTTGACCTGATCGAGTTCCCACATTTTCGGAATGAAATTCATTCTCAAACTTCGGCAATCATTTCACCTTTGTCATTTGGTATCAGAATTATTTCGCTCACTTATTAACCCTTATTTTTCTTTCTGCTCGATTGTTTCTACTTAGTTATCTATTTTCGATACTTCATTTTGTCGTCGTCATTTGTATGAATAAAATAATTGCTTATTAGTAATGGCCAAACCATTGATTATAGAGTGCGTATAATATGCACTATGTTGAATCCATATGCTATAATAGATAAATAATTTGGGCACTGAGGATTTTAAATTAATCTCATTCATTATGTAGAAGTCACATTTTTTGAACAAATGTTACAAATCTGATGGTATAATTTTTCACATTTGAATTCGAATAGCATTTGAATGCCATTCGAATAATCTTTTGAATAAAGAAATCAGTTATTATTTTATTAAAGCTGATTTTTGCTAACTATATGTAACACAATCGTAAGCGTCTGAAAATGCTTGAAATCATTGGCCTCGAGATTCGTCTGTAATTTATTGCTGTTTGAGAGTTTTGAATATTTTTTACTTTGAAAGGATTTTTGTAATTAAAATGATTTATAAAGGCTTAGGCTTGAGAAGTAAACGAAACACATATCGAATATGATATGTAAATGGATAGCGCATTCATTCCCTGAATTCAATGTGCAACTCTTTCATTATTGTTGCTCACTTTCAAATTTCTCACTTAAATAAAATGTTTATTTCTGCAAGTTCCTTAATATTTATGCATAATTTTATTGGTGAATATGGTTAATTTATGACACCTGTGCTAACACTTCTACCAGCTTTACAATTTCATTATTACTGTAATCGCAATGAGGATTTTTAATGCTATGAAAATTTAGACTCATTCAAGTACTCACTCAATTAGCGAACCAACTTTTTATTATAATTGTTTTTTTTATCAACCAAGCAGTCAGTCATTTTTCCGTTTTTTCTATTTCATAAACTCAATTAAGTGACCAGCTCTTTAACACCTCACCCAAAACTTTTGCAATGAGTTTGGAACATTTGTTTATAAGTCCACATTCCTTTTCTGCTTCTTAAATACTTCATTTCTCTCTATGCAAAGGCCTGGATAACATAAAAATATGAAGCGTCATTTTTTTGTCAGCAGGCACCATGATCGTGAAGATTATTTGCACATTATTAATCACATTCTGTACAATAAATGGTGACATAAGTGATCGGCCGATAACAATCCGTCTATCACCGCAAAATCGGAAACCAAATTTTATGAAAGAAATGATACCACCACGTCCAATAATTCATTCTTCACCATTATCGCCACTTTCTATTCCAAAAAATTATTCTCAACAATTATTTAATGTAGCAAATCGTATTATTTCAACACCTGCTCCTGCTCAGCTTCCCATCATATTACCGGCAAGTTTTTAACAGCGAGTAACCAAAGAATTCTTGCTTTCGTTTCATTAGATTTTTAGACCATGGTTAAATTTTTTTACTAATATTCGAGCTTTCTTTCGAACTCATTAGACCAAATAGTCATTTAGTACATTATGATAGCTAAGCAGCAATTTAAAGAATTGATTGAACTGCACAATAATTCAGTCTCCAGTTGCTGAAGATTTCGTACCACGTCCTATAACAACACCGCCACCTCCACCTCCATTAAATATCCCACCAGATGTGCAAAATCAGCTTATAAAATTTTTCGGTCTTGACAGTTTTGGCATTCCTGGACTTACAGGCAATCATCCTGATGGTTTCGCTGGTGCTATTCAGGTTTTTTATACTGTAACTGTATTGCTCAAAAAATGTACGAACTCTACTATATGATACAGTGATTAGTTGGAACGGAAATGAAATTTTTAGGAGCTGAGAGCTGCAGGAATTCCTATTCAAGGCTTACCACTCGAGCATATTTCTGGAAGTTCGCTACCACCAGCACCGCAGAGCGGTTTGTTTTTAGATTTCTTAGGTCTTCCAATTGTATTTCAGTTAGCACGTGAACTGAAAACTTCACTGCAGATGTATTATCACAAGCAAATCCAGCATTTGGTAATCAGTTAAATCAGTTATATAACGAGGCAACAGGTCCAACAAATTATCGTGGTGCAGGCAACGTGCCATTGCCCGAAGCAACTCCTGGAGAAAATGGTCTTATCGGATTGTTATCTAATTCAATACGGAAATTAGTGCAAGACAGTCAGTTATTTTAGAGAGTTATTAGTTGAGACAATGCATTTGCTAATAAATAAATCATTTATTCAGTTGTTTTCGCATACTGAGATACTATCGCAGAATTGTAAGCATTTCCAGTTAGTCATATTAAATTATCCAATGCAGCTGGTGTTGCTGACGCGCTCTCACAAGGTATTCCTAACGTATTAGGAACAGGAACTTCTGGGAATACTGCGATTGCTCACTCAACAGATGCTGAAGCTATTGCTGCTGAAACAGCTGCGTCTAGTTCTGAAATTCGACGACAGCAAAGTGCTGTACAACGAGTACTTTCTGGAGTAGCTGCAGCGCTTGGTGCAGGTGGTGGACGTGGGCCAGCTCACGCAGGATTACCACGAATTCCCGGTTTTCCGTTATTACCAGGTGGTATACCTCGCAATGAACAAGGGCAAATAGATGTTGTTCAACTCATTGGTATTGCTTGCAATTTCATAAAAATATTTTCAGTACAAACCTCGATTTACATGATTCAATGAAAATTTCATTTTATACTTACGTAACATCTAAGTAATTAAGGTTCCATAACTCGTCGTGTCTCGAATGGCACTACGCTGGCTGATGTAATACCGCCAGAACAATTGCAAACTTTGGCTGATAACGTTACTGATGCGTTATTGCCTCCAACACCTGAAGATTTTGATTTGCATAAATTTATGGGAAGATGGTTTGAAGGTATCAACAGTCCGCGCGCTACCGAACAACGTTGCGTTGTGCACCATTGTTTGTTTACTTATCTAATTTTTAATGTCTTTAACTGCATATCGGATGAGTGAATAATGAAATTTATTGCTGGGAAGTTTATAATAACAAAAACCGGAAATTTAATTGCCCTTCATGCTTAACTGTAGAACGTTGAGGAAAGAAATTGACAAATCAAAAAAGTTTCTTCTTTTGAATTAAAAAAAATAAATTACACTTTAGTTATACTCCAACCCCCTCTTCTAACAACATTTTAAATTAATCCATCATTAATAAAAGTAATTTGCAATAGTTATCGGATAAGTAATAATGTCATCTTTAGAGTCTAACTTTTTAGATGGTGGTCTAACAAAGAATGACAAAACAGCAACTTTCACTGCACTGAAAATCTATCGTGAAGGAAGTGAATTCGGTGTAGTTCGTTACTCAATTGGCTATGCATTCCGTGGGGGCAATAAAGATGCCATGTTGCAGTTACACAGCTCCGAAACTCCTGATGCACAACCATGTTTGTTCAATTTTTTCATCAAAACTCAGAAAAAGAAATTAATCATTTTGTACTTCTTGCCTATTTACCTATCTAAAATTATATTTCCTCCGTTAATTTGTAGTTATTTTGAAAAATCGGTATTGAAGTTATTCAGGATTTTGTCAAAAGATTTACTCGTACTGGAATTGCAAATAAGATTAAGCTCCGTTTGAAATTTTCATGCTACAATAAATTTAAGGAAAAAACAATTTGCTAGTATAGAAGATGAAATTTTCAGTTTGGATTTATAAACTTGGTCCTGAAGGAACGGATCCATTTGGTAATCCACAATATGAGTGGGCAGTTATTTCAAATTGGGTCAAATATCCTGTAACCGTATTAGTCCGAGATCCTGATAAATTTAAAACAAAACATGAGCAAGAAGTCTTGCGATGGCTTGAAGATCAAGGTTTCATCAATGGTTTTGTACGAGCTTTCAACATGTTACAGCCTGTTAATTACAGTTCATGTCAGTATGCTGACAGCACCTTTGAAGTTTTTGGCCCCAGTAAACGTTTGACTTGAATCTGAATGAATTAAGAACGAGTTGGTCTTAATCTGCTTTGTGTCTTTTGTTTAACTGATACTTCTAAACCATTTGACAAATTTGAAGCTAAAATGTAAGAAATTATTTTGGAAAAAAAGAAGATCAAGAACAGTATACTAGTGATAGTCATTACGGCAATCAGTATATGAATTTAAACCATCATTTGTCTCAAGAATTCTATCAGAATTGGTTTTGAAAAAGCATCATTATTCTTTTTTGCAGTTTTGTTTGATAAGTTTCATCATGCTATTGTTAGGATAATGAAACTTAGATTACTTGTAAAAAGCATTTCATAACAGACGTAAATGTTGCTTTTAAAATCAGAGTAGTGAAATAACTTGAATGATAAAAAATATGATGAATTGGAAGTGCGCTAAGCTGATTACAGTTTCAACACGTTTCGCGAAAAAAAATGTGCATCAGATGAATGGATATTTGTTATTGCACCTGCTGCTTTGCATTATAGTGAGTAGCAAAAATGAATCAGTAATTATGATATTAATAAAAAATCCAAGCCGCTTACAAACTTGTGATAATTTGAAGTAAATTATCTGCTGTAGTTATTGACGTCTTAAAATTAAAAACATTGGATTTCAGCTGACCATTTAAAAATTTGTGTTGTTTATGGAAAAAGTTTCTATTTGAAGGAATTTTCATATTTTTTTTGTAGATAATTTATATAGGTTAATCAAATTGCATTTAGGTCTTTGTTATACACATTGAAAGTGTTGCTGTCTAGTTCATGTTTTGCTGTGTGATATAAAGTTTTGCTGAAGTAAGCAGTCTGTTTTTATTTTTTTAATTGTTAATTTTTAATTATGGGATTTAAATTGTCGTTTAGAAGGTTTTTAATATTTTATCAATTCAATGAGGCATTTTAGCGTGGTAAAATTGTTCAGAGTAATTTTAACTAAAATTTTATTTTCTTAGCTGTAATAACAGCTGTTGACATCGCTTTTATTTGAAAAAGTTTTGGACATGTACCATCAAGAAAGAATAAGTGTTTGCTGATGTACTGAAAGATTTAGTAACTATTTTTGTTGATAATGCTGATTTTAGCTGGATAGACCGAATAAAGTTTGAGTGAATTTCACATACATATTACATTTATAAATAGAAGTACAAATTGTAGCAAGAATTTTGTGCAAATGAAAATTTGTGATTGATTACTAGGATTATTTGTCGTTTACTGTAATTTACAAAAGAAGAAAACATGATGATGAGATTTCTGTTAATGGTGAATGAAACGTACGTTTCAAATTAATCATATTTTTTGCGCTAAATAATATAGCTAAAAAAGCAAAACAGCTTTCCGATTGACACAATTTAAACTATTTCGTTCCGGAGGAGGCAAAGTAAGAGATTAGATTTTTCGATAATGGCATTCTATCCCATAATGAATCTAATTAATTGAAATATTTGCAAAAGATCAATCGACACCTTCCGCAACACTGATTCCACAATTTATAATAAAGAATAATGATACTTCATTTGCGTAATGCTGATGATTTTCTATGAAAAAACAGGTAGGTCAAATCATGTTGAGGAAAATGAATGGAATGTAGAATGATATTGTAACCATGATGAAATAGTTTTGCTTTTTTTTCAAATTTGTTGATTGAGATATGTTACTTAACAAATGGAAGATTTGTGCAATCATACTTGAAGTTTTTCATAACACTTGAAGCCGCTTTATTCAATAATAATCCAATTAAAACATGTGGAGAATGAAAATTTTGGAC